ATGTACCAATGTGTTTTTCGATTTCCGCTTTACATGTACATTTATCCGACGTTCTTACCGTGAAGGAAATCATCGTAATGCAACCTGCACATATCTGAGAAGAAATTCAAAGATATGTGTGAAGACAACCAGACCGTACTTGGCCAGCGTGGTTGAATATGGCCTAATCACCCTTAATTTAGGGTATGCTTTGAGCCCCTCGGTGAAGAAGTATAGTGAGCTGATGATGATGATTAGTAAGACTCTGTTGTTGTAAACGTTATTGACCGTTGACTCTCGTTTGAGTTGGCACGTCGTAATATACACAACTCAGGTTCCCGACGTGTCAAGTCAAACACCGATTCGGTACAAAATTGCAAACTTTTGCGAAAAACAGTACAGAAATTAGCCAAAATTCTGAAACATTTTCCGACTTTTACGATGTAAACAAGCTCATTGCCAATTCATGTATTCACGGAATAAAAGAAATCTGTTAACCATGTTAATTACGCGTACTAATTTACAATTTCAACAAGCTCAATCTTAAAGCTTTGATATGCGAATATAATACTTAAGTAGTTACAATAAGAGCTCATTTAAAATGAAGTGCATGTAGGAAGGAAAGTTTGAAACATAAAACGGCTCAGTTTGGATGCTTACATCTAAGAATAGATATATCAAATTTTGTTTGATCAGCCTAGAGAGATGTGTAGGTTGCTAAGTGCATTACTACGATATTATGGAATCCTATATTTAGAAAGTATAACAAACGTTATAATTTCCTATCCGACATTTTATAAACGAACTGTAGTCCGTCAAATTAAGAACTAATTTTGCTCTTTGATACGACAATTGCAGACAAAATGGCGACATTTTTTTTTTAAATTGACTTTTAAATTGTCGGTGACAATCTCGATGATGACATGTCACAATTTCGTGGATAAATATCTTTGTTAATTAAATATTTAATCTTACTAAAATTATAAATGCAAAAGTTTAGATAGATGGATATTTGTTAGAGGTAACTCCAGAACGGCTTAACAGATCCTGATAAAATTTTGCATACATGTAGAACATAGTTTGGAAGAACTCATGGCTACTTTTTTATTTCCGCGCGGACGGAGTAGCGGGCGACAGCTAGTTTTATTATATAACACAATAATCTTAATTCTACGTAATGTAATGTTCAAACTTTATGTCGAATTTACATCAGTGAGTCATTTTATTGCGACTCGAGTTTTCCGCAGTCTCCTATCCTATGTGAAGTCGTTTGTGAATTATCGATTTACGTCTACGAAAGGGCTGCCAAGTTTCTAGTTTAAGAGTGAATCAGACAACGGTTTCCACTGCGTAAACACGCGGGCGAGAGCTAGCTTAATACGTATACGTAAACTCAATTACATTCATATAATAAATATCTTTTTAATTTACAACAGATGTTAGCCAAGTCAATAATAATTCTAGAACAATTTAAAAAAAAACTTTAATATTCTAACCACGTGCTGAATTGGCGAGTTTGTACGTGACGATACAATCATAACGATTTGACCAGCCGTGGATTCTCACTGCGGTAAATATACAAATTATTGGCCTAAACTCTTTGATAACATATATTAATGTTTTTAGGTAATAGTCAATGCTCTTTAATCATGAGCCCTTAGTATTTAACGATAATAATTCAAGCAATTCTAGTCCTTATTAGCAATAATACAAGGTACTTGTTTCATGGTAAAAACAGGCAAAATGTAAGCAATGTCTTGATGTAGGAATATCCTCTGTATGGTATTATTGTGCGACATTTCATTGAATATATAACAATTATGATAAAACTCGGAATGTTAAATACAGATTTAATAACCCGTGGGAATATAAACCAAGGTCATACTGTATTGGATGACTCCATACTTATGTTGTACATACATATTATGTATACATATGTAAATAGCTATCGCCCGTCCGCGCGGAATTAAAAACAAACTTAATAAGTAGCCTATGTGTTCTACATATGTGCCAAGTTTCAGCGAGATCCATGCAGCCGTTCGGGAGACACCTTCAAAGAAACATCCATACATGTAAACATTCGCATTTAAATATTAGTAAGATAAAGGAAACGCCATGCTCTATAACCTGCGAGACATGTTTTGTTTACGTCTTTTTTTTTTTTAAGGCAAAAAGTAATTATTTACCTTCCCTATTCAATACGTGAACACTTAATTAAAACTCCACAAAACAAACGTTCACTGAACTAACTGTGGCGTATAAAGAACACTCTTTTGAACAAAAAGTAGCTGTTATTGAATAAATTTATTCATATAAAAGTCGTCTGGATCAACTGCGCGTAATTATACACATAGGCTTATAGCACACAGCTGCGAAAGGTAATAACATAACGCGCTATACATTAAAACGAAGGGAAACAACGTAGAGTTTGTTTTCGTTTGGATTTGCTCCATAACATAGTTACTAAATCAGTGATTTCCAAAGTACAGGATGACCATTAAGGTCCATACTGTAAGTAGTAAGTACGTACAACATCGTTTACGATGGTCAGAGACCTGATGAAGGATTTTCAGATTGAAGGAAAAAAGGTTCAATGAAGCAATACAATTCTGATAGGAGGGAGGAGAGGTCCGCAAGGTGAAAAGTTCGGGAAATAATAAATTTGAAAGTTAGGATGGACGGATGTTTGTCAGAAGGTATCTCCAGAACGGCTCAACGGATCTTGATGAAATTTGGCTCAGATGTAGAACATAGTCTGGAAGAACACATAGGCTATTAAGTATTTTTTTAAATTCATAATTCATAGAAAAATGAGTTAGATTTGTTTCCGGTTCGCTTTCGCGGAAATATTCTAATGCCTTATGTTTTTACTCAACGGTATAAAACTGATTTTACTTTTAAATTTAATAGTATGAATCCAATAAGAAAGTGATACGAAACATTGATTTTCACTTGCACTAGTATCTCTAGATACGTTCTAGTTTTTCTCAAAACATTTTATTTAAGGTTAAACATGGGACTTGTGTAGAAATCTCTAATTAAGGCACATCACACACTTTCGATCTCTTTAAGGCGTGATTCAACTTTCTTGTAAATTAAAATCTAGTCGATAAACTAATGGCATTACCTTTTTTTAATTTAAAACAATGTTACATTTTTTAGACCTCAAAAAGTAATAATAAAAACAAATACAGTTAAAAAAATAGACGTTAAAATAGCAATATTTTAATAACTTACAATTTCTTCTAATAGTATAATAATTAAACCTGTAAAATAGTCTTTATAATTAGGCTTTATACGTCATTAGATATAGACCTGATTAGGTCTGATTAGGGTCTCACAAATAAGTAAGGAATATAATTTTGTACCAGGTTATACTTTAGTAAGGTTACGAAAATAATATTCTAGTATAGCATAACCAGAGATATAAAAAACCTCAACATTTTGCAGAAAAACATATAATTAATTTCTTCGTGTACTAGCCTCATGACAGGTTTTCCATTTTCCCGGTCAGGCTATACCTAAGTTATATTGTTTTCCACTTAAAACGTTAAAGTAACACAGCTTTTAAATCCTGTATCGCTTGCGGTAAGCTTTCGACTTTTACTACACCCTCTAGTGGTTTAGAAAGACTTGCGGTTTTTGGACTTTCCCTTCCTTTAACACGCAATATTTCACGGCCAATGCAAATAAATTAGACACCCCTCTGTTTGGTTTTTCCACGAAATTTGCTTAATTAACCAAAAGGGCTTCTACCTATTTGATTGTAAACGATACGAAATACATTTTGGTTAATTTGATGTTTTTTGTTAGAGTAAATACAATATAATCTTACTTCTTACTAATATTATAAATGAGAAAGTTTATACGGATAGTTGTCTGTTAGAAAATTTTCGGAACGGCTCAACGGATCTTAATGAAATTTGCCATAAATGTAGAACAGTTTGGTTTTTTATTTCCGCGCGGACGGTGCAGCGGGGGACACCTAGATTGAATATGTTTTGGTTTTTTAATGGTACGATTAAATATTGGGATTGGGTAGATGTAAAATTTGATATAATGACAAGAAAACTGTTATTAAAAACAGTTGAATCGCAGTTACAGGATAGCGTGTATCCTTCGTCACTTTCTAACGAAAACATAGCGGCTATACGCTTGCGAGGGGAGTGTATTTTCGGCGTCGTTCAGTTTCAGTGTAAAACCCGCACGAGGGCGTGTCGGTCGTAGGAAAGCGTCCGCCATTTTCTTTTATTTCCGGTCGGAATTCTTCGCGAATTTTTCTTGACGTATGGCATCATTTAATATGACAGTGGATTGCACAGCCACGTCCGTTTCCGGTGCTAATATTAAAGTGAGTATTAGTTAAAGAATCGCAATATTACGTACATATTTAGCATATCCTTTCGCTAAGATTTATCCTGACAGTGGTCGTTGACATTCCGTATTTATAGTAATTAATATGTTTCAATTTGAACACTTACGTTTGCAGAATTGAAACATATATAATATATAAATAAAATATAAAATGTAGTAAAGATTCTCTTTTATATAATTGCGGTGTGGTTAATTAACAACGTAAATATGACATACATTATTATCATTGAGATACTTAGAGGTTATGTTTGTTTAATTTAGTAATTAATATGTTATCTGTGCATTTTTAAAATATTATTTTACTTATTACCTAAGTAATATTTTACTAAAACAAATGCTAGCGATTTTAGTAAGGAATTAAATATACGTTTAAAGTGTTATCACTGATTTTTCCAATAGAAAGAGAGATGGCATTTTTTGTACTGTTTCGACAGTGAAAACCCACATCAAGAGAAATAAACAAAGGATGGTTATTTTTAAAGATTTGCATTTAGGTGCTATTTATAAAGCTTAGGACATATGGCCGACGTACAACAGTATAAAATTGGAAATCTGTATGTCTCATACCATACCGTGGATTCCGACAAAACGACAAAAATATATTATTTTCTGTACAAGATAAAATGTCTTTTGTTTTTTTTTCGCAGAGTTCACAAAACCGTCTTCTTATCAAGAATGGTCGTGTTGTCAACGATGATGGCATGGAAGATGCAGACGTATACGTTGAGGATGGAATCATTAAGTGAGTACTGAAATATGTCTTCTATTCCACGTGGTTAAGGTTTAATTTTGTTTGTTAATGTGGATGTTTAAATTGGAATACACCTAATACTGTGTACTGCAATTCTTCTGTCATGTAAATTTTTTATAGCGATAAAAAATACTTATAACTTTAGTTTTAAAAAGATACTCGGCCACATTTTACGGCCAGTATCTATTATTAATCAGACCTTATTCGATTTTTTAAAAAAATTTTTTCATTGGTTATCGTAACATTTTATGATTTTTACTAGCTCTTTCAGTGTAAAGCCTAGTTATTTGTCGTTGTAGTATTGTATACTCTCCAATCATCTGAAAACCTTATCTGTACTTAGTAACAAATCTCTCCGCATTCCGCCATCATTGTGAAGAGTTGCAAATCAATACATTGCGTGGTTGTCTCACGCAGACGCGAGCCCGGGCTAGCTACGGGTTTTTCTATTACTATTACTATTTTAGACCCTATTCAATATGAAATAGAGCACAATATCGCAAAGACTTAACGTAAAAGCCAACTTTCGTTGGCAAATATGGGAGGTGCTAAAAGCTTTTACATTATTTCAATTTTAAGTACTTATTCTGTTAGTACTTTCCAATTTTCTAAAACAAATGAATAAATATATCGGCTTGAGAAGAATCTCCAAGAAGGCTCTATCTTTTACCTGATCTTTAAATGTGATAATGGTCATTAAAGAAATCGCGTACTATTTCCCAATTATTGACCTTAAAATAGTCTTTAAATGTTTCAATAAAACTTTAATTATCACATATTAAAATTACAGTGAAACAAACATATAAAGATTTAAATCAATACCAAGAGATGTCGCGTACAAAATCTAGACTTTCATCCCGTGGAAGGGGGGACAGTGCGCAGGGGGATTTGCACCTGCAAGCGAGCTAGCTGCAGATTCGCTGGCTCGCTTGCAGCGTCGTGCACTCCGGGAGGACCGCAGTCTGCTTGCAGCCTGCAGGCAGCGACAACGCTGCGTGCAGACTGCATGCTAGCCAAAATATACTAACAAATACTACTTGGGCATAGCTCCAATGTAGATAGTGATAACTCACAATTTTGCATTTTACACAGTATTAATTGTTCTTTATTTTATCTCGATTTATTAATTATCTGTGTTAATTTTAAAGTGAAATAATAAAATTAAGAATTTAAGATTTTAACTATTTTTCGACTTTCGCTTTTTTATTTCAAATAATTATTTTTAATATCTGTTCTGTAAAATTAGAGTTATTTAGTTACGATTATTTTCGTTGGAGCCATATAAATACGTTTGGATTTTTTTTTTAATATTGTGATAGCGATTTCAATAATAGGATTGATTTTGATATTATTTTTTTTAATTTAATAGGATTCAATTAAAATTAAAACAGTGTATAATTTAATTTTAAAACAAAGGTGAGTTTCTAAATAAATTTTTAACTGCTATAGTTAATAAAAATATTTGAAAACTTTCACGTATACAATTAATTTGAATTCCGACCTCGAAAAGGTCATGGAAATTACGTAAATAGTTTAAATATAAATATTTACCTGAGTATTCGTCAGCTATTTAAGTCTGAACATTAAATATCCGCCTACGTTGTACGTAAAATGTCTAGATCGATTGCAATTCTTTGAAAAACAAACAAGGTGACCTGTGTGATTATTTCATTTAAAATATCAAAAGATATGCAGAATATTTTATATTTTTATAGTATCTTAAAATACTGCAACCGAGTGCCCGATGTTTATCAAATACTTCTCAGTCCCTTCACTTCATTACTTGGAGAGTTTGTATGTATGTTTGTTACCACTTTACTCCAAAATGGATGGACGGATCTGAATTTAATTTGGTATAGAGATTAAACACATTCTGGGGTTGGTTAATACAAAAGTTTTGCACTAGGAAATCGCTTGCGAATGGTAATAATTTATAGAATTATCAACACTAGTCTCTGCCAACTCCTCTCGAATCTTGATTAAAAAATGTCGATAGATTTATTTAGTAATTCATCATATAGTGATGTACTTGTAATAAGACGATTAATCGACACTAATAGATTATCGATATGGCTTCATGCAATATGTCCCTTGGTTGCGGGCTTCATTATGCATTTACAAAGTCAATGAATTATAAACAAGCCTTACAATGTTAAAATTATATAGAACTAAACACGTTTGTTACTAAATTACGAGTACTAGGCTTTCATACCAAATTAGGAGCATTTTCTTATCCGTATTCCATTTCCTTATGTTCCTATAATAAGTATGTAATTATAGTTTTTTAATCCCATTTTCCACTAAAAAAACTATCCGAGCAATGCTCACACGCAGTTATGTACGCTGTAGGCATCGTGTGCCATTTCCACAAGCGTGTACGCTACTGACAAAGAAATTCCAATCGCGCGCAGACAGTCGCGCGCGTTTAATGGAACGAGGGTTTTATACAAGTAAAACGCTAGTGCATATTATATGAATGCATTTTTAGATTCACCGGCCGTGACTTCGTGACGTAAATACCAGCCCGACATCACAGAGTAAACAATAAACTTGCCAATTTTATATCATACTTATATTACTAATATTATAAATGTGAATGTATGGATGGATGTTTGTTTGAAGTTATATCCAGAACGGCTTAATGAATCTGGAAAAAACTGGGCATAGATATAGAAATTGGTAGACAACAGTGGCAGAGCCCGCTTTAACATCTTCGCACGAATTGGCCCGGCTCGCCCGGTGAAATACCACGACCACACAGAAAACAGGCGTGAAGTGGAAGCAATTCCGCGTTTCGTCTGATGAGTGTGCGTCCCAGAGGCCTAATTTAGTCCCCTTTCCCTTCCTACCCTTTTTCTTATAAGGAAAGAATGGGAAGTGGACTTTCCGGATGAGAGGATGCATGGAACGGGAAAATATTTTCTTTCTGTGCATCCTCTCCTCCGTCGATTAAAGGTAGGCAGCGCATATGCAATTGCGTATGTCTATGGGCAACGGTCACTTCGCTATTTCACCGATTTCGGGTGGCCGCTCGCTCGTTTGCCTCCTTATGATATAACAAAAAAAACATTGTCTAGAAAAATTCATATGCTACTAATTAAGATTTTTAATGCCGCTTTGACATAGTCGCGGGCGGCTATTTGTGTTATCATTCTTGAGTATTGTACGGTCAAACAAAAATTCAATATGTTATGGAAATAAGGTTAAGAATGAAGACTTAAGAATGTCTAGAAGCGATAAACCTTGTTCTATGCACTTGAAAAGTTCACCTTGATTCTTCAATAGGTCGACTTCAATAGGCCAGTTCAATTGAAGCTACTACCTACATGTCTAGTTGATCTAACACAGTTTTGCTTATTTGTGTCCAATCCAAAGATTGTCTGGTCATATTGTACCAAATCATATTGCCATCCCTTTCATTCTCTTTAACATAATAGAGACGATAATAATTCATATAAAATTCTCGTGTAACAAACATTGTGACCATACTCCTCCGAAAGGGCTTGACCTATTTTTATGAAATTTGATATGCAAATTCAGTAGGTCTTAGAATCGTCTAATATCTAATTTTTAATTACGCGGTCGCAGTCGCGGGCAACAGCTAGTATATTTATACAATTGTCACGCCAGTAAATTCTTCGAAGGTTGGGTTAATCTTGACAGTTGTGTGCTATGTTTACTTATATTAATAGTGTAATTTTTGTCTGTTTAACAAAAATTAAGTCTTCATTTCCTAAACACTAGGAACCTCTGATATAGAGGGTAGATTACAAAATTCTATTTCGCAAGGCCTTGGCACACTTAGACTACAAAGATTCTATGCTACGGTTATTTTGAACACCCTTTATAAGGTTATTTAATCGATAAAAGTTTTTAAAAGATCGTATCATCACTTCCATTGTGTTTCCAATTTTCATAGATTCGATCTTTGAGATTGAAAATAACGCCATCTAGTTAAGTTGATTAGAAAAATAAAGTCTTACTGAATAACCAAAATTGTAGTTGGACACTGTTTAGTTGAACACGTGTTTTAACCCTTTGAAAGCCGACGAAGGATATTATAGACGTCAAAGTTATATGGTTCGCCACAAATACGTATCACCACACCACTTTCGGTATATGTAGGTATTTCATTATTCATTGGCAAAGAACTCATTTTGCAAGCCTGCAATTCAATTTTTTATTTATAGTAAGGCCCTAATCAACTATCGTTTTACGTTTTATATATCTTGAGTAGATTTTTGAATTGTTGAAGGTAGAAAACTGTGGAGAATATCTCTTTTAAACACTTAAGCCCGTTGCAATTTAAATTCTTAGTGTCGATGTGGGGAACTAATTCAATATTAAACGTCTGTCTGGGCCCCTAACGTGTTTGTAAGTCAATTTTCGCTCCCCCTACTGATGGTATCTACAAACCGTTGCCCTTTGATGGAAATTTCAAACATTTTGTAGTATTTATACGTAGAAGTATTATACATTATTAAAAAAATAGTAAACACACTCAAAGATAAAACCTAACATAATCTTTCTAATTTTACAGTGAAATAAGACATTTATAAAACTGCTTACTGCAAAAATGCATAGCCGATGTATAAAAGCAACGACAATAATCTTGTTTTTAATGTATTATATTAAAACCTGTTTGTTGCATCGTCATTGGCGGGAAAGAAATAAAAGTTCAAGGACTAAGGAGAAAGGATTTGTTTATATTTATGGAATATTTTTTATGCAAATTCCTTTAATTAAGGTAATTAAAAAGATCATTTTAAGTTGCTATCTTTTTTACATTTTATGCTTACAATATTTTTAATCTTACTAATATTATAAATGCGAATGTTTGGATGTAGGGGTGGATGTTTGAAGGTATCTCAAGAACGGCACAACGGATCTCCCCTAAACTATAGAACATTTTTTTTTATTCCGCGCGGAGAGAGTCGAGGTCGATATTTACTTGTATTATAAGATTCAAAGTTTATGGAGGTTCGTGGATC